CCCCTCGTTTGTTCTCTTTCCAACCGGTAACCGCAGCCGCGTGCATGCCACGAGCACGCACGAAAGGTGCCACCCGGCCGTGCCATGGGGCGGGTGGGCCGGCGGGCGCACGCGACGGCCCTGGGGCTGGAGATAGCAGTAGATGGATAGGATGGAGCCAGCGGTGCTCCTGTCATCGCCCCTCCCTGCGTATGTACTCCTACGTGCCAATTTTGCTCCCGGGTCGCTCCGCCGCTTAAGGCCTCTGCATGCATGCACGCTCATCTGTAGAGCTGTGGGCGGGGAACGGACGATCCATCGTACGCCAGAAACGTATGCCCGCTGGTGACATCGTTTGTGTGTGGGAGCCCGTCGGTCGTTCGTGTGCAACCTGTTTTCCCTTCTTCGTCAAGGATCGGTGCTGCTAAGTGCCGAGGAACAATATCTTGAAAATTAGCGCAAAAAAAGAACCAGCAATATCTGCAAAACCATCAATCTATGAACTGATCGATACGTATATCCTTTTTTTTTTGCGGGGAACGATACGTATATCATTGCATGTGTACCTTGATGAATGAATAGATCGGGACGAACACGGATTTTCTAGCCTGCCTGCCGGCCGGCCAAGAATCCACCGTCGGCGCATGCTTTTTCAGATGTGTGTTGTATTTCTCTTTCTATGCAATGCATGTTTTACATACTATCATGCAGTAACGTATGTATTTCGTATATTTATGCATACACCGAACCGGTGAAATATATCGATTTATATATGCAACCGGAATAGTTTTCTAACACCTCTGTTTTTTATGAAAAATTGTTATTTGTGAAAATGCGTGAATTTTTTGGGTGTGGGTCCCAGCACTGCAAATTTTAAAATGTACTTAATCATGATTGAGATGGCTGTCATATGCATTTTAAATGTATTTGAGAATTTTCTTAAATGCATTGAAATGTTATGGAACCAAGACTAAAATTCATTGAAATGCATTTGAAGCCTACTTAATTGAAACTAAAATTAAGAAAAATGCATTTGAAATTTGACTAGATCATGATAAAAATGCATTTCAAACTTTTGTGAAATGTATACACATATTATCGAATCATGGCTGACATGCATCTCAAATGCATTCAAAATGATGAGTTTTTTTTTGGAACTTTTGTGAAAATGTCCTAAATATTATTGAATCAAGATCGAAATATAGTGAAATGCATTTCAAAATTACTGAACCATTGCCAAAACTATATGAGATGCATTTCAAATTTAATGATATCATTACTTGTTGGGAAATCAAGCACATAGAAAATGTGTTCTAATACATTTCAAATATGTAGTTTTTTTGAAAATCTGAAACTTCAATGATTTTTTGAAATTGCGGATCCCATATTAAATACAAATCAGTACATTGACGTATAGAAAATGGAGTGTGAATCTGAAAACACCATGGAAGGCTCTAAGGTGTGTGCCATGTCGCGTGCACATTATGGTAGAGCGGACTAACGCAAACTAAACATCATATCATTATCATAATCAATGTCCTTTTTTTGAACAACAATTGGAATTGACATTTGGGTAGCTTTTTCGAACAAACCGATTATTGTCAATTTCAATTTACGGACAAACTGATCATCTCCTTTATGACAAAATTTTAATGGCCACTAGGTAATTTTCACCAACACACGCGAAAAGGTACGATTTATAATCGGCCGAAGTTTTCAAATGTTTTGTTATTCATATTTCAGTGGCACCATCCCTCAATTATATAATGAGTCATTTTGTTCATCCTTCTTTCTTGCACTCCTACATTCCCGTGGCACTATATTCCCCTTTCGCCGAGACCCTCCCCCCCCCTCCACTTCTATAAAGCGATGTTCAGCTCACCCTCCTTTCTCCCCATTCCTACATTCCCCGTGGGACTGTGTTCCCCTTCCGCTTCCGCACATAGCGCCCCCTCCCCCCAAAATATATTCTATAAAGC